TTTATTTATTTATATCTATATTTCTTATTTATATATATATACATTCGGACTTATTTTCTTACACGTACCCCTCTCTTTCTTTGTTTCTTTCAATTTGTTTGTTTCTTTGTTTCTTTCTTTATTTCTTTCTAAAGACATCTATTTTTTTAGTCGCACCTCATTCTTTCTTTCTTTCTTTCTTTACATTACGCATTTCTTTATTTTATTTTTTGTAATCAACCCGTCCTTTATTTTTCTTCGTTCTTTCTTTTTTCTATAAATTTTTTAATTATTTTTTCTTGTACCTCCTCGTAAACATTCAAAAAAAATTTCTTCGTTTCTCGGTCTTTCTTTCTTTATTTCTTCCTTCCTTTCTTTCTAAGAAACATTTCACTTATTTTCTTCTATTGACCCTTTCGTTGCTTTCTTTCTTTCTTTCATTTTTTAAAAAATAAGTTTTCTTTCATTTCTTTCTTTCTTCCTTAATTTTTTCTTCTATAAATTCTTACCTTGATTTCTTCTATATTCTCTCTTTCTTTCTTTTCTTTCTTTTTCTTCCTTTCTTTCATTAATAAATTCTGTGTTTATTTTGTTTTACATTTTTTTCTTTCTTTCTTTCTTTCTTTCTTTCTTTCTTTCTTTCTTTTTTTCTTTCTTTCTCCCTTCCTTCATTTTCTTCGTTCGTTCTTTCTTTTTTTCTTTATTTTCTTCTATACCTCCTTCTTTCATTTTCTTTCTTTCTTTCTTTTTCTTTCTTTCTTTCTTTCTTTTCTTTCTTTCTTTCTTTCTTTCTTTTCTTTTCTTACTTTTTTTTCTTTCTCTTTCTTTCGTCCTTTATTTTCTTCGTTCTTTCTTTCTTCTATAAATTTTTAATTATTTTTTTCTGCCTCCTCTCTTTCTTTCTTTCTTTCTTTCTTTCTTTCTTTCTTTCTTTCTCCCTTCCTTTATTTTCTTCCTTCTTTCTTTCTTCTATACATTTTTAATTATTTTCTTCTATACCCCTCTCTTTCATTTTCTTTCTTTCTTTCTTTCTTTCTTTCTTTCTTCCTTTCTTTTTTATTTTCTTTCTTTCTTTCTTTCTTCTATAAATTTTAATTATTTTCTTCTATACCCCTCCTTTCTTTCTTTCTTTCTTTCTTTTTCTTTCTTTCTTTCTTTTCTTTCTTTCTCCCCCTTTATTTTCTTCGTTCTTTCTTTTTTCTATATTTTTATTTTTTTCTTCTATACTCCCTCTCTTTTCTTTCTTTTCTTTCTTTCTTTCTTTCTTTCTTTCTTTCTTTCTTTCTTCCTTCCTTCCTTTCTTTCTCTATACATTCTTACTTATTTTCTTCTATACCTCCCTCTTTTCTTTCTTTCTTTCTTTCTTTTCTTTCTTTCTTTCTTTCTTTCTTCCTTCCTTTCTTTCTTCTATACATTCTTACTTATTTTCTTCTATACCTCCTCTCTTTCTTTCTTTCTTTCTTTCTTTCTTTCTTTCTTTCTTTCTTTCTTTCTTTCTCCCGTCCTTTATTTTCTTCGTTCTTTCTTTCTTCTATAAATTTTTAATTATTTTCTTCTATACCTCCTCTCTTTCATTCATTCTTTCTTTCTTTCTTTCTTTTCTTTCTTTCTTTCTTTCTTTCTTCCTTTCTTTCTTCTATACATTCTTACTTATTTTCTTCTATACCCCCTCTCTTTCTTTCTTTCTTTCTTTCTTTCTTTCTTTCTTTCTTTCTTCTATACATTCTTACTTATTTTTTCTTCCCCCTCTCTTTCTTTTTTCTTTTCTTTCTTTCTTTCTTTCTTTCTTTTCTTTCTTTCTTCCTTTATTTTCTTTCTTTCTTTCTTCTATAAATTTTTAATTTTTCTTCGTACCTTTCTCTTTCATTCATTATTCTTTCTTTCTTTTCTTTTTTTTTTTCTTCTATACATTCTCTCTTATTTTCTTTCTTTCTTTCTTTCTTTCTTTCTTTCTTTCTTTCTTTCTTCCTTTCTTTCTTCTATACATTCTTACTTATTTTCTTCTATACCTCCTCTCTTTCTTTCTTTCTTTCTTTCTTTCTTTCTTTCTTTCTTTCTTTCTCCCGTCCTTTATTTTCTTCGTTCTTTCTTTCTTCTATAAATTTTTAATTATTTTCTTCTATACCCCCTTTCTTTCTTTCTTTCTTTCTTTCTTTCTTTCTTCCTTCCTTTCATTCTTCTATACATTCTTACTTATTTTCTTCTATACCTCCTCTCTTTCTTTCTTTCTTTCTTTCTTTCTTTCTTTCTTTCTTTCTTTCTTTCTTTCTTTCTTTGCTACCTCTATATATTCTCATTCCCTTTCTTCGACACATCCCTTTTTGCTGTCTTTGCTTTTTCGTTCGTTTGTTCTTTCTTTATTTATTATTGTCTTTCACGACAGCTAGGTCTTCCCCACTTGAAATATTAACGCAACATAATCTTCCAAGTTTTGCTTGTGCTAAGCCACGTGAAAGAAAAATTGAGTAATTACAAATGATAAATAAAACAGGGTCTATTTTCATTTTATATATATATTATATATATATATATATATATATATATATATATATATAATGACATGTCTCATATAATTTAGACAAGTTTTGTCTACCTATTTTTAATAGGATCCTCTCGTAATTACGGACAAGTTTTTTATTATCCTTATTAAATGAAGAAAGAAAATTACCATGTTGATTCATATTCATTTTATTCCGGGTACTTTCGACATTAGTACCATGTCGTCATCAGGGTCTTCTTTATATGTATATATATATATATGGTGTATCAATAATACTTTTGAAAATTTTGTGTTCATATAAACGTCGACATTTTTTGCAACAAACCCTCAGCAAGTGTTCTTTCGTGGCGAGTGATCAGAGGGCGAAAGGCCTTGCAAACGTTGCAAATGATACGGATGCAGAAGCTGCTCTTGACGTACCCTGCATGTGGTACTATGAGATGTACGACATACCACTTGACGCGTGCTGAGACTTGTATTGCCACTGCTGACAGGTTGTAGAATGTCTTCTTCGTGGTCAGGTGTACAAGTGAATCTCGGTCTTCCCCAATCCATAGTTAGTGGTGGCACAGATCCTCTCTCAGCAACGCGACGATAAACAGCAGCAAATGTTGGATGACTCGGCTGCCTTGGGTCTGGAATGCAATCTGATACAGCCATGCAGCCACGCGTCCATTACGGCCGTATGCAAAAGTCATATCTGCCTGCTCAGGATATGAATATCCTGCCATTGCGAAATGGAACTATTCTCAGTTTACTTATTACTACACACGTTGAAGACAGACTAGCCACAAATGTACACGAATGACAAATGTAGACTAGTCTACATGGCAACACAGTGCCATCTGCCATAAACATTCTTTAAACTTAATAACTCAAAATGAAGGATTTGCAGACGGATGTTTATATGGATTTTGTCCTTGTTTTGGTCTGAGGAATTCTTCCCCAAATTTTATAAAAGGATTTTTGATACACACTATGTATATATATAAGCATTTCACCCCAAGTAAGCAGGAGTGCCACTAGCACGCAAGGAGGTACAGAGAATGAAATTAAGGGAAAAAGGGGTGTTTGAAGAATGTATTAAGAGAAGGACGGGGATCAATATCAAGGCATCAGAAGATGTCGATTGACATTACATTTAAATTCTTGAAGATTATAGTTCCCATGGAAGCAAGTAAGAGTAAGGGAGTTCTACTGTCGGGAAGTACGAAAGAAGAAGCTGTTGGAGTAGAAGAGGCAGTTACATTTGACTGTTTCGACAGTAAATGCCAACCTTAAATTCATGATTTACAAATATTGTCTTCCAGGGCATCTATCTCTCTATCTATCTCTCTATCTATCTATCTATCTATCTATCTATCTATCTATATATATATATATATATATATATATATATATCAAAGGAAAAACTTAATACATCACGAATAATCCAATAATACATTTATTTCGGTAAGTTTTTAATATCTCCTTCATCAAACCGAAATTACAAAATGGTTTAAATTTATCCAGACAAACTCAAAAGTCAGCATGATGAAAATACTGCTCAGTCAAGTGAAAAAAAAAATTTTTTATATTAATTTAAATATATATATATATATATATATATATATATATATATATATATATATATATATGAAACAGTCATTCGCTCCTGTAGTTCGCTGATACTAATAAGATGGCTTTTTTTTTCTCCTGATGATAGCCATGCTGGCTGAAACTAGTCGGGGACCCTAATTGAAATAATAAAACAAAAAAAAATAATAATAAAATACAACCCAGTGTATCTAAAATATTTTTTATTGTTCAGAACATATATATATATATATATATATATATATATGTGTGTGTGTGTGTGTGTGTGTGTGTGTGTGTGTGTGTGTGTGAAGAAATATAGTTTTTAGGTGTACTATATTTATGGGATAAAGTGCTCTATATCAGAGATAGATCGTATGTAAATATAAATATAAAAGTGAACATTGTGCTTAGCATGAAACAGCCTGTCGCCTCTGAGTGTGGACTTCAATGTTCACTTTTTATATATATATATATATATATATATATATATATATATATATATATATATATATATATATAAAGTGAACATTGAAGTCAAAACTATATTTATATATATATGTGTGTGTGTGTGTGTGTGTGTGCATGTGTGTGTGTGAGGTGGGTGTAGGATCTGGAAAAATATATTACCTCATTTTGTACCAAACTGACACAAAATGTTTTCAACTAAATGACAATTACAGTCAATTTTGCTTTCTTTTTCTTTCGTTTTTTTTTTCTTTTTTTTTTTAAACGGGATTATAGATGCATCAATGATTTTGGGAGTTTTTGTAATCCCCCCACCCGCTGCTGTCCAGCACTCTACTACTGAGCCATCAGGAAAAGCCGTCGAAAAGTGTGTCGGGATACCAGCGCGAAAAGACCGATATCGTCGTGTTAAATAAAGTTCATCTTAACGGTTGGGTGTAAAGCTTAGGGTTTAGGATAAAAGCGCTAACCGCCACCCCTACCATCCCCAGGTAGAGAGACGTGATGACACGTCTTCAAAAGAGAAGATAAAGGAGAAAAGAAAGAATATCAGCCTGGCCAGCATGGAGGTTTAATGAAATATGAAAAAAAACCTTGAGTACAAAGTAACCTGGCTGAAGATATACATATATATATATATATATATATATATATATATATATATGTGTGTGTGTGTGTGTGTGTGTGTGTGTGTGTGTGTGTGTGTGTGTGTGTGTGAAAAGTGTATATAAATATAAATAAAATATATATGTATAATTATTTATATATTATATGCGCAGTACTTATTAGAAAGCGCTCAATATCAGAGATAGAGCTAACATATTTGGTTGGATAGATGTAACAAACTCACATCTATCCAACAATATATATATATATATATATATATATGTGTGTGTGTGTGTGTGTGTGTGTGTGTGTGTGTGCATATATATATATATTTATTGGGGGAAAATGTATGAAAATGTGGAAAAGTTTTCTTCTGATGCGTTTCGTCTTTCAGAACTTCATCGGATGAAATTTGTTATGCTGGTGCGACTACACATGCGCAAGAACCAGGAATGCTGGGAATTTTCAATTTTTCTTTTTTTTATATGAAGAGGGGAATACATTGAAAACACCTTGCAAGCTTCTTCAGTGCCCTAATTATTTCATATTCAATTCAAAGCAAACGGCTCATAAAATATTTCAAAACAGAAAATCGGGCTCCTCCTGACAAACCCAATGAAAAATTACTGTCCTACCAACTAAATCTATCACGTCTACAATTGAAAATAACTTACGCAAACTCAACTTAAAATTTACTACTACCACATCTAAAACAATAAAAGACTTAGTCAATATTAAACAAAACAATAAGCTAAAAATTGAAGAAGGAATTTACTCGATCGTCCGTAATAATTTTCACAAAAATATATGGGAGAAAACTCAAGGAATCTAAATAAATTAATTATATGAACATAAAAGTTACATTTTGCAAAACAATGCGAAGTGAGGTGGGATAGAGGATAAGTTTGCATAAACTAACTCATATCCTCTCTCCCACCTCACTTCCTCACTTCGTTAACTTTGCGTATACTTGATGAGGTCCGTAAAAAACGTGTGAATTTCTTTTCATTTTTCATTTCAGCTTTTGGAAGTAAAGTCTGATGATCCAGAACCCTGTTAAAGGGGTTATGGTGAAATAGCTTATTACATGGAATCTTAACGTGGTCTGTTTTTATTCAAACATATCTGCTCTGAATTTTACATTGAGCTCTCTGGATATCATCCTCCTCAGGTCTACCCATACGGATTACCTAAGTTTGCATAAACTATATATATATATATATATATATATATATATATATATATATATATATGGCAAAGTAGAGTGTAAAGAGAAACAAAAGGAAGGGTCTCATATGGAGATACTCCTGTGTATGGAGAAGCCATATTTAGTGCTACAGTTTCAAACGGGCTGGATTCATCTACTATGTCCCAGGCGAGGACATATTCCTCAAGCGGGAAACAACGAGTTTTGTGTTCTGCGAGCTGGAATTTCTTTCTCTATTTGGGAACGATATATTCCCAAAAGGAAATGGTGCTATATGCTTGTAAGCTAATGGGAGAGGTACTTTTAACCTCAAACTGGGCCCGTCGGCCGAGACTAAAAGAAAGCAACCTCTCGCTTTGGCTGTTGTATACAACACTGAAATTGACTGGCCACTCTCGTCACCGTATGAAGTGACGTCACTATCTGGTCGTCACGTGACTCATGTGACTTATCTCCACCAAAGGGAGATAATCGCCTTCTGTATCCCTACAGGTTAACATGCTAGCCATTATCAAGGATGTCGTAATATGTAGATTGTGACAGTAATTATTTTACCAATAGATAGAGGTTGGTATGTCTCCGTGTGCATTTCAAAGGGTCCTAATTGTGCTATGACCCGAGAGATGTAAAGTAAGTCTCCTTGATTGGTTTGCAAGAAAAAATATAATAAAAGATTTAAATGCAGTGATTTGCTAGTCATCTTCAGTGAAATCTGTATAAAAGAAGAATTGCTGCCCAAATACATACATACATTTTTAAGGGGTCCACCCCTTTCTATACAAGTGGACTCGCCAGTGTGTTCTTGTACTGCTGCCGGTGAATATCCGGAAGTAAGGAAGTGATACGGTGAGAGTGTGAGGTAACCGCTTTGTAGGAGTCACAGTTGCGAGCACGTAGACACAGAATGAAGTCATACTTCGATACTGAATTTCCCAGACTGTATATATATTATTATTGCTACTAACCGCATTTCTGGATCTACTAACCGTATTACCAATTGTATTATTACGTCAATACATTTATTTGTTATATTTCATTCCTGCGTTTGTCATTCATTTGAGACCGGATTTCATCTCGGAATCCACAACAAATTGGCGACGAGCGATTCGAACTCACACGGGAAGAAAAAACAACAAAAAATTTCTCCGCGTCGTCCACAACAAATTGCCGACGAGCGATTCGAACTCACACGAGTGGAAGAAATAAAAAAAATCCTCCCCTCGTCCACAACAATTTGGCGACGAGCGATTCGAACTCACACAGGAAGAATAAACAACAAAAAAATTTTCCCTCGTCGTCCACAACAAATTGACGACAAAGAGTTACGAGGATTAAAAATACGTAAAATTGAGTTATCATGGAAGATTTTAAAAATATTTTGGTTGAACTGGTAAAATGCACAAATGATCAACAATTACAACTACAAGAAAAAATGGAAGAAAAATGGCAAAAGCAATTACTACAAACGCAGAAGGAAAATCAAGAAAGACAAATAGAGCTCCAGGAACTAATATTGAAAGTAGCGGGTAACAAGCAACTAGATATTGAAAAAGAAGCAACATTTTCGCAAGACGCAGTGTGGAATACCATAGAGATTTTCAAATATTTTCTAGATGAGGATAAAAATTTTGGAGATTACTTCAGAAGACATGAAGACATCTTTAACATCGACTGTCAAAATTGGACAGAAGCAAAAAAGCTATGTCTATTGCTTAGAAAATTGGGAACTGAAGAATATACAAAGTTCGTGGATTATATCTTGCCAAAAAAGACGAACGAATTAACATTTGTCGAAACAGTGACATGTCTTAAAGAACTCTTCAGTCCGAAAACATCACTCTTTCACAAGAGGTGGAAATGCCTTAACCTGGTAAAGGGCGATAATGAGGATTATTCCACGTTTGCCACAATCGTAAATAAACATTGCGACGACATCAAATTAGCGGAATTAACCCCAGACAAATTCAGGTGTCTCATCTTTGTTCAAGGGTTACTTTCAACAAAAGATAGTGAAATGCGTCAAAGAATGCTTTCAAAATTACATAATGAACCTGGACTAACACTACAACAATTATCGGAAGATTACCAGAAATGCCTATGTACAAAGAAAGACTCGAAGGACATTGAGGAATCAGCTTTATCTCATATACGTAAGTTAAACAAAAGTCTACGTTTTTCACCCTCCCCAGAAAGAAAACAAAAATTCTATAATAATGAAAAAAGATTCTCACCCTCCCCGGAAATAAAAAAAAATCTATAATAAGAGAAAAAGTAGAACATACAGGGCAAATTATGACAAAAATCGAAGCAAATATAAGACCCCCTCCACCCATCAGCATGTTACCGATGTGGAGGACTACATTGGAACAAGGATTGCCGTTTTAAATATAAAAACTGTCTTGAGTGTGGAAAAATGGGCCAGAAGGCATCCCAATGTAGGAACAGAAAAGATACTAGTAGAATAAGAGCTACTAGGATGCATAACGAAGACAATACTAACATAAGGAAATATGTGGAACTTGAAATCTTAAATAAAAAGACAAAATTGCAACTGGATTCGGGTTCCGACCTCACGATAATCAACCTACAGACATGGAGAGAACTTAACAGACCAACCATGTTACATACACAAAAAATTGCCAAGTCGGTTACAGGCAAGCGAATAAAATTCGAAGGAGAAATAATCGTGAATGTTAAATTTCACGGGAAAGCAAAAAAACTTAAGATATACGTCATGAAAGATACTGAAAATCTAGTAGGTATCGACTGGATGAAAAAGTTCAACGTTTGGGATCTACCTATTAGATCTTTTTGCAAAAAGTTAGAGGTTGAACCATCAGATGCTATAAAGTTAAAGGAAGAATTATATAACCAATTTCCTGAGGTATTTTCGAGCGGGTTGGGACGATGCAACAAATTTGAGGCCAGAATTGAATTAAAAGAAAACGTCCAACCAGTTTTTAAAAAGAAACGAAACGTACCGTTCGCTACTATAGAAAAAATCGACAAAGAATTGGAGAGACTTGAACAAACTGGAATTCTTGCAAAAATAGAGTTTAGTGAATGGGCAGCACCAGTAGTTTATGTAAAAAAGAAATCAGGAGAAATCCGCGTATGCGCAGATTTTTCGACGGGGCTTAAGAAGGCTATAAAAGACCATCATTACCCACTACGGAGCCCAGAGGAAATATTTACAAAGGTCAACGGCGGTAAGATATTTTCAAAAATAGATATAAGTGAGGCTTATCTACAAATCCCAGTACAAGAAGAGAGTACGAAAATCCTTTGCATTAATACGCACAAAGGGTTGTACAAATGCAACAGACTACCATTCAGAGTAAAATTTGCACCAGCAATATTTCAGCAGACGATGGACACAATGCTCACGAGTCAGAATTTCGCGACTGCTTATCTGGATGACATTCTAATTAAGAGCGACAATGTTGAAGAGCACACATCACACATAAAGGAAGTTTTCAGAAGACTTCAGGACTTTGGGTTCAAAGTAAAAGGAGAAAAATGTGATTTTTTCCTAAATGAAATTAAATACTTAGGTCAGATATTAAATGAAAATGGCAGGAAACCGGACCCAGAGAGGGCATCGGCAATTAAAAATATGCCTGAACCAAAAAATGTTGCAGAACTACAAAGTTTCCTGGCTCTAGCTAACTACAATGGCTAATTTATTGATAATATGCATAAACTGAGGGCCCCACTAAATGAGTTACTAAAAAAGGAGAA